GGCACCGACGGCAAGTAGAGATGGCAGAGGAAGATGGCAAACAAACTGGCCGGCAGCGCGTCGGGCGAGATGTCCCAGCGCACCGTGTTGGTCCGCTGCAGCGTGATGCTGTAGAGGTTGATCATGCGCGCCATGGTCGGCGCCGAGACCGCGTGTGGCAGGTCGCACTGCTCCACCTCCAAGTCAAAGAGGTCGGGTAGCATCGGCTCGAGGTACGTCTCGAGGTCGGTCGATAGCGGCGTCGTCATGCAGTTGACGCGCAGCATCACACACGTGCATCGCTGAGCGAGCCACGGATACGTCTGCAGGAGGCAGCCCGGTGGGCAGTCGCGGGCTTGGGTGGCCCCCGCTACGATCGCGAGCAGGACAACGCCAGTGGTGACCGAGGCAACTGCGTAGGCGTGTCGCCAGCGCCGTTGTTGCGGGACCACCTTGTCAAGCGAGAGCTTTTGTCGACCGGTAGACCTACGCATTTACGTTGCAAAGAGTCGTGTGCCGTTAAGTTTATAGTACGTGAGACGAACGTCGACCGCGTTGGTCATGCTCCGCAGGGAGAGGTAGCAGGTGAGGAACGGCACGACTTTCGTGACAAAGTCCAATGGGCTGCTAACGACGATGAAGCGGCCGAGCAAGATCGTCGCGTTGAGCCACGCGTGGTCGTCGAGGATGCCCGCGTCTTGTGCGAAATAGTAGGTGGCGATCGCGCGAAAGTTCAAAATTAATGGAATTCCGGACGAGAGCAGAAAATTGAGAATTCCAGCGAGAAACGCAGCGCCCCATCGGCGCCGAAAGGGATTGGAACTCGCGAGCAGCAAGGGCACCGCAATGCAGTTGCCCACGAGCACGAGTGCGTACGCCAGCGACGCGGTCGCGTCCGTGAGCAGACAGCTCATGCGGTAGGCTTGATAGAGCTGCGCGGGAATCTGCACGATCTGCTTCAGCATGAGCTTGGCCTCGCAATGCGGCCCTAGAAGGCCAAAGGTCCCAAAGCGGCCAAAGTGCTTGATATAGAAGCGCCGCATGCGGGCGACGCAGCCACTGCCTGGAATCGAAGCCGCGTCGCCATGAAATGTCTCGGGCGAGACGGACGCGCCGCAGCGTCCGCAGCACGCGCTAAGGATGCCGTAGAGGTACAGGCTGGCGAGGAAAATCGAGACGCCGGCGTTCAAGAGAGGCGCCCAGACTCCGATCACGCGGGCTTGGTCGGCGGGGGCGAGCAAGTAGACAGCTGCAAAGCACAGCAGAAAAAACATGGAACTCAGTAGCAGCAGCACCGCGATGCAGCGGATGACGTGGCGCTCGCAGCGGCCAAAGAGGTATGACGCGACCTCGGGGCCGACGCGGAGCAACGGCGTCGCCATGGACGATACGAATAGGGTGAAACCAAAGATGTCCGATTTAGTTTTAAAACAGTCCTACGTTGTGTGAGCGCAAGTAGAAGCAACCACTGACAGGTTGGGATTAGAGATATGCTATATGTGCGAGACACGGGCGAGTCGGTGCTTTCCGAGGGATGAGCTATTACGACGCGGCAGTAGGCGTCCAGGCTCGACGCGAAGACTTATGACCATTATTCGAGTTGCGTGGCTCCGAGGCTCAGCAGAGTGACGTGGCATCTGCTCTGGGATGTTGTGGGCTCTTGGCGCCACGGGGCGACTCGAGTGAAGACATCTACAACGACCGACGGCTTAGCTAGGTTGGACGCGACAAGGGCTTCAGTACACATGCAGGCAAGGAACGAAATCAGATCTGGTTTCTCTTGTGCGCAAGTCCCCAAATCTCGCAACTGCTGGCCTCGTCGCATGTCGTAGCGACTACCTGCTATAAATGTCTAGACGACCAAGCGTACAGATCGCATTGGCGTCCATAGCATGAACAACTTGTGCATTTGACTTCGAAAACGTCAGCAATACTACGCGACGCCGCCGTGGACTCTTGGACTTGCCGTTGGTCGCCTGCGACGGGCCACCCGCCATCTGGTCTCCAGTCGATGTGTTCGCAAGAACCGTTCGACTAAACCGTTTTCGACTAAATGGGTTTTTCCCATGCCGGGTCTCGCAGCGTGCGCGTGCGGACCGCGAGCAGACGAGTACGGTGTTCATGCACCATGGTAGGTACCTCGGCCGCCAGCGTCGGCGGGACGAGGCGGGTCGGAGCGACAGGACACCGGTGCGACTGAAATCGTTACAGGCGCCGGTTTCAAGTGCGCGCACCTGAGCATCAACGATGGGTCTCTGCCATCTCGAAGGAGTGTCACCGCTGAAATCCTTCTCGTCTTCGATGGTGCATGCTCGCAGTCGAGCATTGTAGTTCGAGGCATGTCG